CCTGGCCAGAAATACGGGAGGCTGAATTAACTGCAAAAGTGTTGGTTTTGCTATCTCCAGACTTGAAGTCAGGGTGCAGGGGCCAGGGGCGGCTGCTAGGAAATCTGGGAGCACTCTTGTGATGTTGGTTGAAGGCAGGGGAGGTGATGAGTAGTGAGTGGACTCTTAGATGGATTGTGGCCATTAACTAAGCTTGGGAGTTTGCCTTTGTGTGCGACTTACTCAATTAAAGCAGATTCTTAGCCATTTCCCTGCTGTTGGGTTGTTTGTGGTGAGGCTGGTGGAAGATGGCAGGGAAGTGGCCCTGGGGTGTAAAGGGCGGGGGGAATGCTGAAATACAAAACAATCAATTTCTTATTGCACAAAGATGTACTATCAAGTTGCTTGTATGCAACACTCAAGAATCCCAACAACAGAACAAACTGTTATCTCATTTCAGATAATCTCATCTCCATTTTGGACTCTGCAACTCTCCGGTTGACATAAACAAGTGGTAACACGATTATGTCGAATGAGCAACAATACAATTCAATCTTGGCCCAGGATAGCCTGATCTCATCAGATCACAGAAGCTAAGCAGGGTTGGCCCTGGTTAGCACTGGCACTGGGAGACCACCAAGGAAGTCCAGGGTTGCTAGGCAAGAGGCAGGCAATGGCAAACCACATCTGAACGTCTCTTGCCCTGAAAAGCCTACAGGCGGTCAGTATAAGTAAAGTAAGTGGTCACTACAAGCAGTGTGCCTTCTTAATTTTCCCCCCTACTGAGCAGAGCCATTCACACCTGAGCAGAATATAACTGCTATAATCTTAAAATGGGCAATGGGGCAGTGCAAGACCCTGTGTGGCTCCATAATGCTGCTGAGTGGGGCTTAGAGGGAACACTGACTATAAGTCAGCAGCAACCTTTTTTTTTTAGTATTTTGTATATGTGACTGTGTGTGCGTGCACACCTGGAAGTCATGGCGACCTCCGGTGACTGACCCCTACTGGGAGCCTGGAGGATATTCAGAGAGGTGGCGGAATAAAGCCTGCCCACCACCTCCCACCTCTGGTATTCCTTGGAGGTCTCCCATCCAAGTACTTGCCAGAGTCAACCCTGCTTAAGCTTCCGAGATCTGGCTTGCCTGAGCTAACCAGGTCAGGGCAGTCAACTGCAACTTGATGGCACTTTACACCACCACCATTTAAGACAAAGCCTGAGTCCAGTGGCACCTTGAAGCCTAACAAAGTTTTATTCAAGGTATAAACGTTCATGTGCAAGAACACTTCTTCAGATACAGTGAAACAGAACTTCCTCAGCCATTACATATAGGAAGAGAGAGGGTGGGGAGGGGTCAGTTGCCAGGAGGAACCAATTAGCGTCAAAACAGAGACAGAAACAAAATGGAATTACCAGTCTATATAGGTGAGTGGTATCTGAAGTGTGCTTGCACACGAAAGTTTACACTTTGAATAAAATTGTGTTGGTCTTCAAGGTATCACTGGACTCAGACTTTGTTCTACTGCTTCAGATCATCACAGCTACCCACCCGGATCCACCACCACTTAAGTTTACTTTGCTTGTGGACTTCTCTCCCTCCCCCCCTTAAGAATGTGTAACATTCGAAGAGAGGACTGCTTCTGCTACCAGTCTTGTCTGCTCTGTGAACTGGAATCCATGTAGAGTAAGGCAAGACTCACTGCAGGCTTTAATAGTCCAGCGCATTCCACGGTTACACTGTGCATACTTGCACATAGTGGTGGGCAAAAAGCAGACGGCAAAGACCACATTTTGTTGTCCCTTTTCTTATGCAGGTGTTAAGTGTATCTTTGGCGACTTACAATCAAACTCCATTTGCTTTGCGTGCTTAAAACGAAACAAATACTAGGTTAGGGTTGAGCGGCGCACGGACACTCGGCAGGTTTCATGGCAAAGGGGGGAGGGAGAATCTCTGGTCCTAGACCAACACACGAACCGCTGTCCCCCTCTCCCGCCAATCCACACGCTGTCTGCAGTCCAAAGCCGCGGAAGCCCATTCTGCCACCTCGTTCTCCTGCACGTGTGAACCAGGCTTTTAAGACCGCCTGCCCGAGGATGTTAGATCGGGGCTCCTGCTCCCTCGTACGGCCCCAAGAAGGGGGCGAAGGGCAAGGTGGGGCAGATCAGCCGAGGGCGCCGCTTACCCTGTGTTGGGCAGCATGGCCAAGTCCGAAGGAGCAGGGAAGGAGGCAAGGGAGAACCTCCGGGAAGGCAGCGTGGCCCAGGCCGGGCGGGTCGGCGTCTCGAAGCCTTACAAGGCCGCTCAGATTCCAGCACCTCGCTTGGAATCCCGCACTGGGGCAAAGAGCTCAACAATCGCAGCGCGTCAGCGGAACCTCCGCTAAGCCCCGCCCCTCTGGGGGACACGAGAGCCAATGGGAAGCTCGTTCCCGCCGTTTCCTAGTCACGTCACCAGGTGAAGTCTCTGCCCTTTCGCTTCCCCCCGCTGAGAGGGGTGGGACAGACGGGGCCGATGGGCGGAGCGTCCGAGGGAGCGGGATCATTCGGACTGTGGGAAGGGCGCTGGGAGCTGGTGTGAAGCTTCAGGCAAAGGGAGAGGCTGAGAACAGAGATGTTGTAAGGGAGAATAAACCGGTACGTTTCTGGACCCCAGGAACGAAAAGATGAATTGTTGATTGAGTTTTTATTTCTGCAGTACACACCCTAGACCATTTTTAAAAAATCATCTTCCAATCTGAATAAAAATCCACAGAACTATTTACATATTTGCAACAATATTAAAAAAGAGGTTTGTGACCAAAACCCCAAAAAAATTAAAATAAAAAGTGAGCCTTTTTGAGCACTCATAAAAGATTACTTGGTGGCCGGATTATCTGCTACAAAACTGATTCCAGTAAAAGCAGGCTAAAGCGGAGTTACTAATTGGGTGGACTTCTGCTGCCAAAACTTCAATCCTAAACATGTCTACAAAGTAGTAAGCCCCATTGAGCTTAGTGGGACTTACTTCTGAGCAGGGCTTTTTTTGTAGAAAAAGTCCAGCAGGAACTCATTAGCATAATAGGCCACACCCAGCAGCAAAAATCCATTAGCATATTAGGCCACACCCGACTGCACCACTCATTAGCATATTAAGCCGCACCCCCATGTTACCAGAAGTGTGATCATCCAGCCACACCCACCTTTTGCTTGTTATTCTGTTTACCTTGTTTGTTGTCAAAACCTAGGGCTTTTTTTGGAGCAGGAAGTCCTTTGCATGTTAGGCCACACACCCCTAATGTAGCCAATCCTAATGAGTTTCTGCTGTTGGGTGTGGCCTGTTATGCTAATGAGCTCCTGCTGGGTGTGGGCAACTTGGGAGCCAGCAGGAACTCCGTTCCTGTGCATTCCTGCCCCAAAATAGCCCTGCTTCTGAGTAAATATGCCTAGGTTTGCACCGATACAGTGCACTCCTGGCCAGACTGACTCTAGTCTAAGACCATTGACTTCAATGGATGTAGAGCAGAGTAACTCTGTACATGGTGGCATTGTAAGACTTTTGGTAGAGGTGTACTCTGGAAGGCATATGTTTGGAAGTAAATTTCTGGCTAAAGGGGCAAAGATCAGCTTTCCTTTGCTCTCTTTCATGGCCACTATTGCCCTTTTCACACTTTTGGGAAATACAGGCAATGAACTTGTGGGAAAGGAGCCGGATCCAGCCCCGCTGCCGCTTTCTCTTGGACTTCTGTGTGTTCATTGCTCCTCTGTGCACAAAATTCTTTGCTATCACATTGCAAGTACTGATCTAGGAAGCAGAAGGAGGAGGAGGAAGAGGAGATTGGATTTATACCCTGTCCTTCATTCGGAGTCTCCGAGTGGTTTACAGTCTCCTTTCCTTTCTCCTCCCCACAAAAGACACCCTGTGAGGTAGGTGGGGCTGAGAGAGCTCTTTCGAGAACAGCTCTGAGAGAACTTGTTAGTGACCCAAGGTCTCACCAGCAGCTGCATGTGAGGAGTGGGGAATCAAACCCAATTCTCCCAGATTAGAGCCTATGCTCTTAATCGCTACACCAAACAGTTTGCACACATAAGGGGCCACATAAGAACAATGAACATTCAGAGCTGGGCTAGAGTAGACACAGTCCTGTTCCCCCTGCATTATAATCAATTTTGCAACATATGAAGAGTAATGTATGTGTAGCATGAAGTGTTAGTCAGCTCCCTGCCAGAACAGAGGTTCCTCTTTTTCAGTGAAATTTGGGACCAGATTCGCACCTTCCTTTCAGTTTTAATAATGTTATTTACTGTCTGATGAGGCTTTACAAATAGCAGAGGAAAGAAGGAAAGCGAAAGGCAAAGGCGAAAAGGAAAAATTTACCCAACTGAATGCAGATTTCCAGAGAACAGCAAGGAGAGATAAGGAGGCCTTCCTGAATGAACAGTGCAAAGTAATAGAAGAAAACAATAGAATGGGAAGGACTAGAGATCTCTTCAAGAAAATTGGAGAAATCAAGGGAGCGTTCCATGCAAAGATGGCCATGATAAAGGACAAAAACGGTAGGGACCTAACAGAAGCAGAAGAGATTAGGAAAAGATGGCAAGAATACACAGAAGAACTATACAAGAAAGACCTCAATGTCCTTGACAAACACGACGGTATAATCACTGACCTTGAGCCAGACATCCTGGAATGTGAAGTTAAATGGGCCTTAGAAAGCATTACTAACAACAAAGCTAGTGGAGGTGATGGTATTCCAGCTGAACTATTCAAAGTCTTAGAAGATGATGCTGTTAAAGTGCTGCACTCCATTTGCCAGCAAATTTGGAAAACGCAACAGTGGCCACAGGATTGGAAAAGATCAGTATACATTCCAATCCCAAAGAAGGGCAACGCCAAGGAATGTTCAAACTATCGCACAATTGCACTCATATCACACGCTAGCAAGGTCATGCTCAAGATCCTACAAGCTAGGCTTCAACAGTACGTGGATAGAGAACTACCAGAAGTACAAGCGGGGTTTCGAAGAGGTAGAGGAACTAGAGATCAAATTGCCAACATTCGCTGGATTATGGAGAAAGCAAGAGAGTACCAGAAAAATATCTACTTCTGCTTCATTGACTATGCTAAAGCTTTTGACTGTGTGGATCACAACAAACTATGGCAGGTCCTTAAAGAGATGGGAGTACCAGGAACAGCACCCCGGACCTCCGCCGCTCTACAAGGCCCAGGAAGGCCACCGCGTATCTACAGGACTTTGTATGTGGGTAGTTGGACTATGGGGGGAGGGGTGTAATGTACTGTCGCCATTACCACGTGTAGTGCATTCAGCCTGACATGCCCGGACTTGCCCGGGCTGACCAGGCAATATTCCTCAGTAGCTTCAGTCGAAAGACAAAGGATCCATAGGATCCTAGCCGGCCCAATCAAAGGGCCAGCTTCCCAGCCGGGAGACCAATGGTCGCCCGGTTACTGTAAATAGCCTATCGGGAGTAGGGGGTGTGTTTAGGTGTGCTTGGTGGCGGGTTTTCTGAACGCATATAAACCGGCCTGCGAGCTGGTTTCTTTGTCTTGTTCCTGAACTAATAAAGTACTCTTGCTGAATCACTCTTGATGAATCACTCCACATTCTGAGTACTTTTCACAAACATTCATAGTCTACAAACAACTCCCCAGTTTCACTTATAGGTTTAAGGCTTATCCAAGAAGAAAGGTCTCTGCAGGTTTTTTTGGAAAGACTCAAATAGATGAAAGAGTTCCACAGGTTAGAACATAAGAACATAAGAGATGCCAATGTTGGATCAGGCCAAAGGCCCATCCAGTCCAACACTCTGTATCACACAGTGGCCAGGTTGGTAGCTGCCATCAAAAAAGCTTTGTGTCCTATAGGTCCACCTCTGACTGAAGTAGCCCCGGCCAAAAAAAATAAATAAATCTCATAGCTAGGCTTCAAAGTACAATGAAGTCCGGATGACAGAAGATGCTCCTGTATTGGTAGATATAGTGGGCTTAGAAATATAGGTATGTACAGTTTGGGTTACAGAAAAAGAGGTGCTCCCCTTGGCCAATTCTTTATGGATAGGATGAACATGCAGATCACTGTGCGATCCTCCTCAATACTTCCTTTTCATTTCCAGGGAACTGTTTCAAGAGGAAAATAAGAAAGCGAAAGAGTATCTGGAAACAACCACTAAGGAGAATTCTGATTTGCAGGAGAGGTGCAGGAGGTGAGCAGAAATTTGGGAAGTCACTGCAGGGTTTGAAAAGTTCTAGGCCAGTGGCTGGGATTCAGGACCCCTGCCTTCGATTCCCTGCCCTTACAATAAGACATTCCGATGTATTTATTATTTTACAGAGCAAGACTAGAATCCATATTTCACTTGTTTAAGGACACGAAATCTTAAACTAATGGGATTTAAGGTCAATAAATATGCTTCTCCTCAAGTTTTCCCTTTGTTTCGGTAGTTCTGTAGTTCTACACAACTGCGAGCCACTCCCAACATACTGTTTTGCAGCTTTAGGGATCCCAAGTCCCCCCGGGGGGCGGGAAAATCCCCGCCCCAGAGGCTCGTTCCCCGGCGCCGCCGGATTGGGCCCGGGGGGAACTCAACGTCACCCGGAAGTGACGCGGGAACGCCGGGCACACTGGGGGTGGGCCCATGGCCATACAAGGGAAAACTCTATGGTTTTCCCTTGTATGGCCGTGGCCCCGCCCCCAGCATGCCTGGCATCCTCCCGTCACTTCCGGGTGATGTGCGCGCAGCACGCGCGCAAACAAGACGCCGGCCGGGAGCCCCCCGCTCCCGGCGAAGATAGACTTGGCAACCCTATGCAGCTTCCACCCTGGGGAAGTGATAGCAACAACACTGCCACTCTGTGCCACTACGCCCAGTTGGAGGTGCCTCCATGGAGCCCAGACAGACTACAGTGGTAGATTTTTGAAGTGCTAAAATAAGATGTCAGGAGAACAAAGTAGTGCCAAAGGACTGCTGTCTTGATCAGGGCATTGGTGCTGGGAGGGACAGTCCCTCTTTTGCTGTTTCCCACATTTTAGATCTATTGGAGGTAGGGGTCATTTTGTAGAAAAAGAGGTGCAGGAGCTTATTAGCATAACTAATTAGCATAACTTATTTGCATATGCCACACCCCCTGACATCACCGGACGTGTGTCAAAAGGCAACACCCACCGCTAAGGCTCCACTGGACTGTTTTGGATTGCTAGCTATTGGGGGGAGGCGGGGAATGCAGATCTGTCCTCGCAGAAGAGGGAGAGCTTGTACCTGAATAAAACTTGGTCTTAAAGGTATTGCTGGCTAAGCACCGTAACAATAAAATTCATTGGTCTTAAAGGT